AAAATGAGATCTATATAACGTCACTCGTTTCAATTTGAGCCCACTTTTATTCTAATTGGCTGAAATTTTGGTCGCATTTAGGAAGCTATTCAATATTAGGTTTTGCTAGTTTAATTTAAGAACAAAATACATTAATTGCAAGAATAAATCAAGATAAGTTAATGAGTTTAATTTTCTTTTGCTTCATGGTTGAGACATACAGTGGGTCAACAATTAACCTACACGATGGAGAAAACGCTTTTGTTGTGCAACAAAAGATTGTTGCTTTCACTGGCAGATACATTTGTGTTAGAACTAACGGTTGCACCAGAATTAATACCTCCCTCCTTCAGTAAAAAAATTCTTCAGTATCTCCCTCCTTTCAGTTTTTATTGTTCAGATTTAATCTTTTTTTATAATATTCCCCGTTGATTCCTTTACAAATTAGTGTAGAATTTCTTGCTGTGCAATGTAAAGTGAAAAATTGAAAATTTTATTAGCCTGAGCGATATGAAATTGAAATTTTACGAGTAGCTTCAGTAAGGTAACTACAACCTTATTATGCATTATTTTTTTTAATACTTTATTTTCCATTAATGTTAACAATATTTACGTGCAAACAAAACTTAAATGCATGTAACAAGTCCACCTACGAGTTCATAACTATCTAGTAGCTGCATCACCTCCATTTTCGTAACTATTGTACAGTTGGTCTATATTCAACGATTTCTAAATGGAGAAAAGACACGGATTAATAGTAGGGTCTTGGCGGATGGGCGACTTGTAGTTACCTTACTGAAGTTACTCATAAAATTTCAATTTCATTTCGTAACTTCAGTTGCGATAACTACAAGCTTATTATGTACTTTTAAAGCCTAGTTTACTTACATTTATCATCCTATTATGTTTTGTTGAAATATTTTTTTCGGTCCAATCTCTCTTTCATAAAATCGTTGAAAAATTTTAGCATTTGTTCATTCAGCTACACTCATGATTTGTTCAATGTTGAGGCCTTGTGCTTTCGCTTTTGATGTTTTGCTGATTTAGTCAGAGATCAACACAGATCGGTGACCATCCGGTTTAAATTGGTCTGGTCGATCCTGTCGAAGAAAAAGACGTCAACCGGCCGGTTGACGGGCGACCGATCACACTTGGTCGATTTGGTCCGCTCCACAGTTTTATTGCTGCTTTACTGCACCTTTTGCTGAGAAAAAAACACCTGCTTAGCGCAGGACATCAAATAAAAGATTGGAAAAGATGGACTGAAAAACGGAATAATACACAACTCCATAATCGAATATCGCAGAGAGTTCGTAATAATTTTGTACGAAATTTTTTTTGTTTTGTAAATTTATTACAACAGAAGTTTTAGATCCTTCATGTGGGTTGAAAGCAGTTGAATAATATCGATTTTGAATGCTCTGTTATAGTAAGACTTTTAAAAATTTTGTATGAAATAGGCGTTTCTAAAACACTTACAATATTCAAGCCCCATCTCAAATTGGTTATTTCATCTAAAGAAAGTTTTCACTGGAAAAAACGCATAACTTTTTCCAAAAAGGTCGTGGAATGCTGGAAATGGTCTTATTTTGTAAGTTCAGACTTTCCTTCACAATAGTGTATGTTCAACTCAAAATCGAAAAGCTTACCCGTAATAGAAACAAGCATTGCCACGAGACTTAGCATAAAGTCTGCTTAGAGCATCTCTAGGATCCTGAAAGTATCCGCATAAACAATGCCAGATGAAGAGTATTGACAACTTCATTTTGAATACTTACATTATTTCCAGTGATTGTAAACTAAAAGTGCTTAAAGCAATTGTAATTAGAGATCAGCACGGGCCTGGCCGAGCTTGGGCCGCAAAGTATTTTGATCAGGCCGGGTCGAAGTCTAAATTTTTGAGCATGCGTGGATCTATAACTTATGTGTATACTCAGTATCGAGAAAGAAAATTATCACTATTCCGTGACATCTGAATGACTTCGTTTAGCTAATGCTTTTAAAGGTTGAAAAATGAAAATCAAGAAATCATAAAGATGTAAATATTAACTTGAGAAATACATTTACACCACTTAACCAGCAAAGGCATTGCAGATGCAAGGAAAAAATCACGCATGGGACTGGACTGGGCCAGAAAAGTTTCAGGATTAGTCGGACCGGCCTAAAAATTTTCGGTCCATGGGGATCGCTGATTGTGATTGTCTTTTCTCACTATAAGCAACAGTTTTTATGGTCGTGCATAATTTCAGTATCTTATCGAAGTTTTAATATAGCATGCATTACTTGACAATTGCACCTAGTTTTCAGAATAGAAGATAAAAATTCATCTGATATTTGTACTTCAAGAACGGAAGGATTCTTAAAAGTTGTAATTTTAATGCTTATTTCACGTGGTTTGGCTTTGAATGAAAATATAGATTAAAACGTTCCATTGGAGCGTGTTAGTTTTGGACTAGTTGTTAATCAAGTTAAAAACTAACAAAAATGAATAAAATCTATGAGAACGGCAACGCCGAAAATTATGATAGTAATATTTTTACAAACAGCTGCATGTATCCAGTGCGTCATAACTAATGAGCTTCTCAGTATTTTCAATTTTTCTTGTGTTTCTTTAGGACTCTAAAGGTAGTGTTTTTTTTTAAAAAGATGCGCCGCGAAAAACTCTACAAAACCACATCTAAGCTTTAATTTCAGAACTTCAATCAAGAAAACTACGCAAATTATATGAAAGGCGAAAAAAATGAAAACTTAGTATTTGTTTTCGACTTAAACTTTTTTCTTATGCTATTATTTCCGTAAAAAAGTGGAGCAAAAATGAGAACGCGGCTCTTTTCGTACTTCTGAATGTACTGTTTCTGGTGGTCTGTAAAAAAATTAAGCAGATGGTGTGCTGGAGAACGAAGTTTCAAAAATACATCAAAAAAATTGACAATCCAAGCAAGAAACGAAAAACATGATCGAAGTTTTGATTGTGCAGTTGGGTAGAGAAGAGCAACCATTTCCGATCAAAACAAAACAAACCCGCACAGTGGGCATTTAGGCGGCATTTTGGTGAAAAATCGCAGGTTCGAATTTTTATATTTTGAATGATGACATATATACTATAAATAATGCCTTATTTAACGGTGAAAAGTTTTTGGCTCTAGCTTCTTCCAAAGTTGAGAAAATTAAATTACAAAATTATCAGTAGAATTAGTATGCTGGCGCGTAAAACTGCATTTTCTCCGTCAAATTATAAGTTTTTTTCAAAAACAATGACATATATAGAATCGCCATCTGTTGGGCTATCTAGCCGTAAGAAAATTTTCATCGGACAAAGTTAAATTTCGGGGAACGCGCGAAGATCTTTCCACGGAACTCATCTTAAAAAAGGACGTCCTCATAAAAATGCAATCGCTAAACTCCGCTGAGCAGCTATTGATATGGAAAATAGCTCAAATGTTCGTCTCAACCTCCTCTACATATACTGATCTCACAAAGTCTCCCAACTCTAGGGGTGCTGAGTTACAGGCTTTCCGAAAATTCTGGGGATTTTCGAGTATTTCGCAGTTTTCTCCCTCAAAAAAGCACTTTTTCTTGAAAGTCATATTCGGAATCAGCGTGAAAAACTGCGTCCAATGTCATACTTTTTAACTGCCCTGGTCAAACAGAGAAGTGGACTTTCGCGCACTTTTTGACCCTCTGTAAGCGTTTTTCTTTCAAAAACCTGGCTTATAACGGATCAAAAAAAAATACCATCGATGGGGAACCATTATATTCGGAATCAGCATGTTCGATTACCTAGAAAAACCTCTTTTGGTTCAGTTTGGCCGAAAATTTTGGGGTGAGTCGGGTTTTTCAGGAACGTTTTCTGGAAAACCGACAGGATCTGTTGCATTTCTGACATAGCCATTAGATTTAGCATAGTCGAAAACATATAAAAAAGTGTTTTCGGATTCAAAAGACTTTGATGGCGACAAAATGCCGCCTGCTCTGTGAGGAAATGCCCACTGTGACCCGATCAAAAAAGATTTTCTTTTGATGGTCTTATAAGACCTTTACTGGAAGCACCACTATACCCAGAATCTAAAAAATTAATGGAAAAATGCATGACAACCGACAGAAAAATTAAAAAAAACGAAGCATTCGATATATATAAAATCGAACACGCTTACTTTATATCGTGATATGTAATCCATATACAAGTAATCATTATGAATAATCATTATCTCCAAAAAGTAATCATTATGAATTTACTTGCGATCCATCATAGTCTAATGTACAGCTTTCTGTGCGATGAAAATCTATCTTATTTATCGTCGTGGAATTAAGATAACGTGTTCACTTCTCGTCGGTTCATTAGAGTCAGTTTGAACAGAAACGGCACAGTCGAAAGAATTTTTCTCAAGCATCTTATTTACAGTGTTATCTGGACTACACGACTGCATATCTCGATATTGTGCAATAAAACTAAAAGTATGAAGAAGAAAAGTTCTATCTTTTCATTCATACTGACTGCAAAAGGTTTTTTTTTTACATAACAGAGCAAAATTTTGCTTCATACTCATCATAAGGCTCATTAAAGCAAGAAAAATGGGATATATTGTTGTACAAGTCCTATTTGTAATCAAAATAATTATCCATAATCATTTTTTAACAATATTTTTAGTATTTAACTCAAAATTCTTACTCACTCGAGAATATACATGGATTAATCTTATTAAGTACTTTTTTTATTCGATTAGATTTGTATTACAATTCATCCATAGACAAACAACAATAATTAAAAGCAAAATATAATAAAAAACACACAATAAACAACCAGAACAAAAATAATTACGACTAAATTGTTCTCGTCATTTAACACAACGTACGGGTACACACACTCATAAACCGGTGAGACAAAGAAAAGAGAAGATAAACAATTAGTCACAAGTGACACGAAAGCAAAAAATATATGAATCTAGAGGTTGTAAAATTAAATTAAAGATAATAGAGAAACGATGTCGGTGGGTGTCTCTATGTCAAATAGTGGCGATTGTTTATGCTCGTATAGCACTGCTTATTTTAAAAAACTTGACAAATTTAGCGACAAAATTTAAAACAAAAAACCAAATATTTCGTGCAGCCGGTGTTTTAGCTATAAATATTCTCCATAACATGACAACAATAATTGTATTGCATAACCATCGAATATTTCTTAAATTTCTTAAATGACTTTGGGCTACACTAATACTATTTAAGTCTTCATTTAATATATAACGTTTTGTTCCTATTAGATACGATTCAATATATGTTGGCCAATGTAACGAACGAATATCAAAATAAAATTCATCTCGATCATCATTATTACCATGTTCATGTTGTTGCATTAAACTTCTCAACGCATTTAAACTATCGTACGAACATTGTAATTCACCTTTAATTGTAAATGATTCTAAACTAATTAATATTTTATGGATATGTTTATATAAATCAACAATATAAGGCTTTTTGCCTATTAATCTCAAACCAAAATCGGCCAAATAAGCGGGAATTAAATGACTAAAAAATACATAAGAATCATGCAGTAAACTATGACTTGTAATGGTTAAATTTGGTCGTCTAAATGCGCCCTCATATGGAATACGCTTCGAAAATTCAGTGAAAAAATTTTCCATCTCTTGCCAATGAAATGGATTTAAACCACTTGATGTACAGTGATATATTGATATATCATTGAGGTTATTTTCACTTGAATGTTGTGTTTGTTGTTTGTATTTTTGCCACGCCGCCACAATAAGTAAGTTGACTGGTATGTCAACAGGAACAATATCTAAAATTGCGTGTGAATCGCCTTTCATTGTACGTAAATAACCACGAGACGACGATATAAATAATTCACTTAGACCATTTGATTTTTCAACCCAACCAGGATAAGGCTCTTTCCATGCTGAACCAATCATTGAAACGCGTACAATTGACATTGGTGGTAACGTTAATTTTTCATTTGATAATATGGTTTCAGCTAACCAGTGAGAAAATGTAAATGTATTCGGTTTTGTACCAATTAATTTTGGAGTAGCTAATTCGATCATATCGGCATCCATCCAACTCAATGCATCAATTAGTTTAACTGGATCTATGGGACACGGATAAATTGTTTCGTCTATATACGGACAATCTAAAGAGAAAAGAAAGAGAAATATTGACTGACTACTAATGCAGACTGATATCGAAGAGCGCTTCCTCTATTATATGATTAAGTGAGCATGACGAGTAAATACAGTGCTGTTCAAAATTATAGAATCAACGGTCAAGATACGCTAGGCGCAACAGTTGCCGGACGCAAATCCATAAAATTTTGTTCGCCATTTTTGTTTCGTTCTATGACTTGTTATTAGAAAAAAGCAGCATAAAATAACATGGAATATAGAAAAAGACCAGTCAGAAATCGAAGGATAAGTTAGACGCAAGCTCGCGCCTAGCCTTTACTCTTAGCGTATCCTAACCAGAATCATCCCACTTTTTTGTTTCTCTAGTGAGTTTAACTAACTGGTGAAAGAGCATGAAAAACCGAGTATAATCGATATATTTTAATTGGCATTGGCATAGTCCTTCAGTGGATTTTGGGAATCGGTTTTTCTGAAGCACTTCTTGGAGATAAGTTTTAAAGTGCTGAAAACAACCAGTGAGAAACAAGCAAAAATCTTTTCTTCTTCATAGTATTAGAGGGCAAAGTTAGATCTACAACACTAGACGTTTCGCAGTTCTCTAGGATGTAGAACAAACGAGTTAATCACGGTCACATATTTCAAAAAGGAACATCATGGCATATTTTAATAGTTTTATCGTGGAAAAAAGTGACCTCTGTCTTGTACCCGTGACGAACTCGTTTATTCTACATGCTGGAGAACTACGGTGTCTCGTTTTGTAGATCTAACTTTGCTCTCTAACACTATGAAGAAGAAAAGGTTTTTGCTTGTTTCTCACTGGTTGTTTTGAGCACTTTAAAACTTATCTCTAAGAAGTGCTTCAGAAAAACGGATTCCCAAAATCCATTAAAGGACTATGCCAATGCCAATTAAAATATATCGACTATACTCGGCTTTTCATGCTCTTTCCACCAGTTAGTTAAACTCATTAGAGAAAAAAAAAAGTGTGGTGATTCTATAATTTTGAGCAGGAAAAAAACTGAATTTGTTTTTTAAAACTTTTTTCTGCCAACAACCAGCAACCTTTCGACTATATATTCTAAAAGAGCACACTCAATTCTATGGATTGCATCTTGAAACATATTCAGATAAGAGGTCGTCCGTACTGGACACATTTTTAAAGGTCCATGTAGTAGGTAATTCTATAATTTTGAACAGCATTGTATATTGTAGTGTTGGCTGTTATCGCACTGCATAGACATGAAATACAACTCGTCTACAAGAGCAGCAAATGAGGATTAATCTTATAGTTTACTGACATTATTTAAGAATAATTACTTAAATTCAGTACGATTTAAAATTGTGTATCTTTTATCTAAATTTTTTATATTTTTTCAACTACTAACCAATGTTAGCATATATTGACGATAGATAAACAATTGATTTTAATTTTGTACATGTTTTCAAAAGGCCTATGATCGATTTTAAATCAATAACATTTGTTTGTATCATTTGTTTTAAATTTTGTTCATCAAAATCATATGAATTTGCTGCCAAATAAAAACATACATCAATATTATCTTGTAATAAACGATAGTTTTCTTCATCTTGTCGATTTTCAGCTTTATTAAGAATGGTGTCTATATCAATTAGAATTAATTTTTCAGAAAATTTTGGATTATTTCGTCTGACACGATCAAATAGTTTATTTGTACACAGTTCATCAAAACAATCATCAATCGTTGTTGTAGTGATGGTATTAGATTTAATATTTGAGTTTGTTATCGATGGTGTTGTACGTACAAGACAATAGATTTTATCGATAGTCGGACAACAACGTAATAATTTTTCTAATAAAACTTTTCCCACAAAACTTGTTGAACCAGTAACAAGTACACATTTGTCATGATAAAAATCGCTGATTGTTGATGGCATTATTTAGCTAAGATGTTGATGATGATAGTGTTGGCTTTACATAAAATACAGAAGAGATTTAGTTTTTTAGATCTTTTGTTGTTTCTTTGTAAATCTAAAGAAGAGAAGAATAATGAAATAGTAATAGTGCACAAAAGAAAATAGAGCAATTGATTAAGTTATTTGTGAATGAGTCTATTCATTGTAACAATTCAGTATCACGAAGGTTTGTAATAATTAGAGATATTGACAGAAGCACTAGCAAATATTATTCCTTTGTTACAGTTTTGAAGATTATATGTTTGAAAAAGAAAATAAGAAAGAAGACAAAGGAGTATCGTGAATATTAAAGATGAAACATCAGGAGATTTTTCTCATTTTCTTATTATTACACATAGCCTAGAGGCCATTGCATATCTAATCTGAAAGAAGTCATCCGTACTACACATAAAGTTTTCCATTCCTCTTCGAACACAATTTATAGAAGAAATCAGAAGACTGATTGAAAACAGCTTTAAATAGTTCAACCGTAAATATTATTCATAACTTACATTTACTTTACTTCCTCTATTGATTGAAAAATATGTTGTAAAACGATTTTTCATCTAATCTTATCGCATGATAACATCCATGAATGTGCAACATGCTATACATAACTGGTAAACAAGCGTACACTATCATATCTTTTTATTCGAGTTGTTTATGCATACGAAAGTATCGCTTGAACATTAGATGAAAATCTAATGTTTATTCCACTGAAAGCATTTACTAGCTCAACAACAAGAAGTTCACTCAAAATAGAAGCAAAAAAATCGTTCGAATCTATACGGAAAAAAATGAAAAGTTTTACTTATTACCTAGATGTATGTCTTGTTGAACATAAATCGGACGTTCGTCAAAAATTTGTCGAATCCGTATATTGACAGATGATGTCATAAAGTAAATAGAAAAAAATGATTCCACTACTCTACCTCAATAACGTCGACATTTCACTCTCTATTAACCTCTATGGGATGTACTGTAATAGTCAAAAACTCACATAGATATATTAATGATAACTGTTTTTTCTATTAGTAAAATAGATTGCAAGGGTACTCATAGTGAATCGATTAAGGATATCAGTCTATCTTTATCGTGTCTTAATAACGTAGATGAAAATAAAAGTTTGTGAGGTTTCTTTGTGCTAACGTACACAAGTAAACTTAAAAAAGAACTTTTCGGCCGGTATACATTATTTTAATAAATTATATTGAAAAGATTTTTGCTGACGAAATGCAATAATAAGACTATAGTTATATAAACTGTGTTCTCTCTCTCGCGCGCGCGTTTCTTACCCTTCTTTTTTTCTCTGTGTATCGTTAAGAAAAGAAAAAAATTGAATGTTTCTATCATTATTTTTTTTTCTGCTCTTTCCTTCTTACTGGGACTAAACATAAACAATGATCGAACAAAAATCTCTTTAACATGAGTGTTGGGAAGAGAAGAAAAACGTTAACAACATACGCCATAAAATTACTCGAAAAATAAAGAACAACATATTTCAAACAAAAATTTATTATATATTTTCACAGAATGAAAAAAAAAAACCACCAAGAAAACTCTTATGTTATCGGATCTTTTATGTTGTGTACTCTTCCGCAACAATGAATAAAACATTTTCTTATATATATTTATAGGTTTTTTTTACCGTTTCCTATGTAATATCGTCAAAATGTGATGATAGTCGTTAACTCAATAGTGTGAAAAATCTAATTTAGAAAATACTTTATGTGAAAACATTTGCACGGATATTTATGAGCGTGCTTCTGTCAAATCTCATTAGATAATGGAGAAATCTTATGATTTTACTGCACACACTATAAATGTGTTCCACATTCACCGCACACTTCTTTCATAATGTAACCATGTCAAGTGATCAATCATTTTTTCCATTGACCGATCATACGTTATTGTAGGTAATTTTTAATACTGATCACGAATCTGGTATTTACTTGTTTCTATAAGTCAGAAACATTCCCACATAAGTAACTCGATGTGCTTTACAATCTGAAAGCTCATGATGGTTCTCTACCGATGATGACTGTTTCTCTAGATTGATCCAAGAAATGGGTTATGAATAACCATCCATCAAAGGAATACCAGACTCGTGATCAGCATGAAAAATTATTTCTAATAAAGCATATCCGAAGGTATATTGATCACTTGGTAGTGTTCTCTCATCAGTTACTTGAGTAGAATTTAGACACATAAAGTGGCAAATGTTAATGAAGAGCTTTATTTCTATTCATATTATATACTATATTCATCCTATTTGAGCTGCTATCTTAAAACTATTATTTATGTAAAAGAAAAAAAATTTTGTTTTCACAAAAAAAGTGTGTTTACAGGCAATGTGAAAATGATGAATTCTTTTCCGAAGGAAGAAAACCTGTACTATTCCATTTCTCTTCAAAACAAAACCAGCATGGTACCCAATAATATTATCTGTTATTATTTCCTTAAAATTTATCAATACTATCATACTTTCTACAATTCTTTTTATTTCAGAATCAGTTAACAAAAAAAGAATTCTGTTAGATTTATAGAATTAAACAAACTCATTTTATTTCTATGTACCATCATTTTTGAAGTATGTTAGATAGAAAGATCATGAACAAAAAAAAACGTTCCACTTATGCACACTTGTCGCATGCGACAACGGGAAACTAATAAGAGAACACGACATTTTGAGTTATTGCGAGTATTTTAGAAAATAAGTCTGGCAAACGTTTCATCAATATTTTTAAGTAACTCTTAAACTTAAGTGAGCACTTGAGTCTTCGTAGTGGAAAATTAACTTAATTCTTGATCTTTCATCGAAATCTTAGATGTCGACTTCAGTCTCCGCTTTTACTTAAGTTTGTCTTAACTCCGCAGGACAAAATAAATTGATTATTTTTAACTTAAATGACCTTCCTAACTAATATCAATCAGATTTAAAAAATAACCAAGAATGTATTCGATTATTTTTATTTGAAACAGTATAGACATCAAGATTGATGATTAACAAAGTCTAGTCCAAGAGAAAACAAAATAAATAACATTGTTTTACAAAAAATTTCCTATAACAACGGGTCACGATGATCACGAGAGATCTTATATATCAGCAGTTACTACTATCCATTTCAAAATAAGCTGAGAAGAAAAATGTGTTTTGAAAAATGCTGTTGCGATACGTCAATGAAAGAGAATCGAGAATAATTTTTTATGATGCTTGAAGTATAGAGTTTCTCTGCAGTTTGGTTGCTTATGTACCTCAATATCAACTACTATCCATTTCGAAATAGAATGCAGTCCATTGTTTTTGAACAACTTTCGATAGAAAAGAGATAGAAAGCTACCATTTCAAGTTTTGATGAGAGAAATGTTGGGGCTATGATACGATAGGAAAAGAAAAATTACCATTGCTCTACAAAACTAGGCAAGTGCGAGTTCAGTCGCGGTAGAGATGCTCCAGAGTGCTCCGAATTCGGTGATCTTTAGATTTTGAAACGTCAAAAATGAATCAAAAAGATATTTTTTAAGGCGCTTAAAGTATCCGATTGGCCAGCAGATATCTCATCTTATATATAGCGCATATAGAAGATATACTGAGTATTTTCTACGCTTAAGAAGAAGAAAGAATACCCTGTCTTGCAACTATTGTTACCGATGTAGGCTGTTGACAAATATCAGTTTCAATATCTTTTCTACAGTTGACAAAGTTCTGATATAGTCATCCACTTTGGTATTGATTATCAATTGCAATTTTCAGGCTAGAAGGCTGACTTGACGCAGCGTTCTACATTAAAATACAGCTATTCTGAGATTATCGAAGAAACAACAATACAAACAAATATATATTTATAATATATTCAAATATTTTACTGCTTCTAATTTAGATTCGTTTTAGATACATTTCTTTTAAATTTGATCTTAATTTTGCATTTAATTTGATATTTTTACGCAACAATCCCATTGCTTGTGGTAAACATTTATAGTTCAATTCATCAGCCATTTGTATTACTTCTATAAATTTTTCCGAATCTTTTCGTTGTACACGCAAAATGAGTAACACCATGAGTCCGTCTGTTAAAGGATTAATCAAATATTGTCGATTATTTTAATAAAATTCGTACAAATGCTCTGAACCATCAAAATAGTTTTCACGCGTCAAGAATACTATTAAATAACTTAGAAGATTCCCACTATATTGAAATGTTTGATTTTTTTTCATAAAACTTTTGAAAGATCTTTACTCACGCCTAAAAAGTTGTTATTCTTCAACATAAGCATTTGTATCAGTTTGTTCATGTCGAATTAATGGAAAACGTTTTAATATGGTACGTCATACTGTTGTTGTGTATCCATATTATCATCATTAATATCATCAGATGCAAATAGTTTTCAATAATATTCTAATACACGTGGCTATTGTGTGGTATTATTCGCACCTATTGAGCCCAACATCATCATATCAGACCACATACGAACAAAATAATCGTCAAGATATCAATTTGAGATAAAATAAAGGAATTCTTCTATATCTTGAGACTAACAAGAATATATTAGAAACTGAAATAGAAACAAAATGATAAAAACAAACGTGAACATATTTCTTTTTGGAATGTTTATTTGCTTAGTTTCTAATATGACATGACGTTATCTGGTATATCAGTACGAAATAATAATTTAACTAAATAATTATAATATGACCTTTCTTTGAAATTATCATGTATAAATCGAGCATCCCTAGTGAATGTACTTGAGATCAAGTACTTAGGGAAGTATTTGGGTAAGTAATGTTCAGGGTATCTGAAGTTTTTTGCAAGGAAAAAAGGTACTTATCAAATAGTTTAAGGAATACAAGTACTTGATTAGCTTGACAAGTACTTAACACTAGAACGCCCGGAAATTTTCATGACCTAGAACGCCCAAAGTGGTCATTTTGACTGTTACTGTTTTTTTTTAAATTTTATACTTAAAAATGGTTCTGAATTAAAAACTGAATTAAAAATTCTGCAAAAAATAATTTTTGTGGGACAAATTAAAAGTTATGACATAATTTATTTTTAAATAAATTGTATGCAGTTTGTTTTATTAAGGATAAAAATCACAAAACAGTCAAAATGACCGCTACGGGCGTTCTAGTGTTAACGAAGTACAAGCGCCAGTAATATGATAAGTACTTGCAAATTGTCTGCAAGTCCTTCTGATAGTTTTTAGATACCTGCGGCGTCCTTCTCTTCGAGTACTTGAAGCACTTACCAATCACTTCTCTAATGAACTTACCATTTTGAGTATTAAAATGTGAATCCGTTCTCAATAGTTAGATCTTGTATTATAAAATTTATATCGGTTATGTAAGATGCAAGATCTGACTCTTTTGAACGCATTCGCATTTAGGATCTCAAAAAGGTAATCTTATTAGATTAGAGAAAACTGAGTACCATCCGCTTCCATCTAATCTACAATTAACTATAACCGAGAAAATCCTACAGGATCTCCTCAACTAACTAGATGAACTGAATTATGTGCGTGTTGGCGCGTACAATTGAGCGTTAATACAAGTAAATAACAACAACAACAATAATAGTTATAAAACTAAAAAGTTTGTCTTATATCACACTATCAATAGATGAAAATAGAAAAGAACACATCACACGTGTCATTTATTATCATCTTGATCACTTTTTTCTTCGTCTTCTACTGTGTCGCTCTCTTCTTTATCGAATAGATGCAAACTTCGAACATTAATATCAACATTGTCATCGTCTGCTACCGTAACATCTCCACTCGGTTGTTTTGTTTTTCTTCCTTGTCTTGATGTATATTGATCCTTTGTCGTGATACTACTAGTTTTAATTTCATTCAATTGTTTCCATACATTATCGTTGGATGTCAAATTATTCATATATTTAGTCATAAAATTATCGTTACTATTTGTTTCATTTAAAAACTTTGTCCATACGATTGGATAATGATCAGATATGTCTTTCACACTTATTGTTTTCTTTTTAATTTCATTTGATAACCATTTAATAAATTGACAAGCTAAATCTGTCCAACATTTTAAAATTTCATCAGAATATTTTAGCCAACCTTGAATTTCACATAAACGTTTTTCAGTTTTAGATAATGTTTCTGATAAGTCCATCTTTCGTGACTTTTCCCAATGTGAACACATTGGACGAGTTTTCTCTCGAATTGCACGTAATATAACATACCAAATTGTCTTCTTTTTCAATAAACCAACAACACGATCATTATCATCAAGAAAATATAAAACACTACCTAAAAATGAAGGATATTAAGAATTTCAATAAAACCTATTACTAAAAAGACAAATGTATGTGTAAGAAGAAAGATTTCAATTTATTTTCTTAGATTGACAATGTAATTATTATGGGAGTCGCACCTTCACATTCATGGCGATATTTGATTGATAATAAATATTCATTCAGAATATCTTGTTTGTTTTCAATAATATCATAATTGGTTGTTGATAAATGTAAACATCTTGCTATTTCAATACTGTAATCAGGTGGTAGTGAACATAAGTTTGTTACTACTGAATCAAAATTTTGAGGCACTTCACTGAATGTGATAAATTTTAATTCTGATGCTGAATCTTTTAAATATTCTAAATTAACAACATGTTGATGAGCGTAATTTAATATTTCAAATATAGCTGTATAACGTGTTTCGCATAAAAAATTTAATAACATTGCACCATGATCGGACATTTTTGATAATGTGTTTAAAATTGTATGACAAAATGAACTTGCATAAGAATAACATACATCGTTACCATATAAATCAATATCTGAATGATTACGAAAACATAGATGTACATTTTTTGAACCAGCACATAGAATTAAACGATTATTGAGCGAAAAACACGATAAATGAGCTGCTTCGCCTGAAATAATACTAAATAAATATATAAAGAATCAATTAAATTTATTAATTTACCGTTAATCTTTTGTGTACAAATAATTTGTTTTGCATCATGTGGATGAATTAAAAAATAGTTTAACCACGCTCGATTATCTTCTTGTCGATCATCATCATCCCCTAAACCACCTGTAAATTTTCGCAATGCAAATAATCCAAAATCCAAACGTTTATCTTTTTCATCTTTTAAATCGCAATTAATTAATGTACAACCTCGAGGCAAACGTTGACGTAATAACGGATCGCGATCATAATATTTATCATCCGGACCACGACATGAAATACGTACATCAATCAGTTCACCTTCTCTCACATTTGATCCTAGAGAAAGAGAGGGACATATGGTTTTAACAAGATAGAATCGAACCCAAATGTTAGACAAATCACTAGACACGAATAATATACGCTAATTATTTTAATCAACAATCAAATCAGAATATATATTACCAAGAATCGATAACGGTATTGGTTTTGTTACCATTTTGATATTTTTATGGTGTGATCGAACCCATTGTAAATAATCATTAACCATTGATGTGGGCTTTGATAATTCCCGTTGGACCATAGAAATACGGTTTGTTAAATGTGTTTTCAATTCAATAAGATTTTCATTGTTATTTCGTTTCAGTTGTAAATTTGTGAATAAATAATTCCAAATATCTGACCAAAGTATTGAATCAAAATTTATTGGTGAATCGTTTGTATATACTTTCGATGATGTCATCACTAACATATGAGCAGAAAAGAATAAAAGGAATCAAATAATTGTGATATAGATTGACTATAACTTGCGTTATTAATTATAGAATGTTAGAAGATTGATGAAATAGTGTAAAAATGCATGTGAGGAAAGATTTAACTTCACTCGTGATTCTGTGGCAGTTTAGTCATCTAATAGAATTTGTTCACACTCTGCGATCGGCTTAATTTTAGATTACAGAGAAATAATTTGATTTTACGTCCAGAACAGTGAAAAAAAGAAAAGCCAGTCTGTTATTCCACCGGCGTACCCAGAATTACATTAACGAGTGGATCAAATTTTTGTTCACTCAATATTTTCCAACTTTTCTTACTGAAATGAATGCAATGCCATTGTGTCATCTTAGATCCATTTTATCTGATGAAACGATTATAAACCAAGAGGGTGCAATGTCTCATATTATACTCAATCGGGACCTTCTTAGATCCCAGCATCTAACAATTGTTCGAACTTTATTGGATGTACATTTAAGTAAATTATAGTATTCAATGGTTATACATATGTCCGAAACAGTTAAATATCTTACAATTCAAAATCAAAGAAAATAACACCGGTATTTTTATGATTATTAATTTTAACAAAAAAAGTTATATTTTGAAAATAAACAGAAGATTACGTTTTATTTCTTTACTACTACCGTGAAAAATACGTCTAGCAATCTTAACAAGCTCGAAAAACTAACAGTATCTGAATGCCCAGATGAAAACGTGTATTCGTCATTGTTCTTATGTGAACTTTTTGAGTACTTAAAACAAAACAAAAAAGAAACGTATCGTCAAACACTCCAAAGAGAACCACCAACACTATCATGTTCTGCACCAGTAACAGAGGCTAAAATATTGGGCTTATTTTGTAGTCGTAGCAATCCAATAAAAGCCATTATAAGTGCTTCTTTATAATCAATAACATTTGCTTCTGGTAAATAAACTTGAATCATAAATGAACGTTTTAATTCTTCGATAAGCCTTTCGATCAGAAAATCGTTATGTCCTCCACCACCTGTGATTAGTAGTTTACAATTATTAAAATTCTCATTTTCATTTTCATATACCATTTGTATCGCATTTATTATTTGAACAACAATGTGTTCATTATAAGTAGCAAGTTTATCATTCGTTTTCATTTGTGCATAGTTTTCTATTATTGGGTACACAGTATCTAAACCAAATGAATTTGACAATGATTTTGGATATGATTTTTTATAATAATCCAATTGATTAAGATCATTTAGTAAATTTTGATTAATTACTCCACTAGATGCTAATTTGCCTCTATCATCGTATTTGTATGTTTCATCTTGATTTTTAGCTAATTTATTTAAAATTCGATTAGCAGGACAAATATCAAATGCAATATATTTTCCATCTTTATTTTGTACAGATATATTTGTTATACCGCCAATATTTAGTAATAAACGATAATTTGAGAATAAATACTTTTCACCAATAGGAACTATCGGTGCACCCTGTCCACCTAAAGCAACATCCATTGAACGTAAATCATTGACAACTCTTAGATTTGTACGAGCAACAATTGATGCACCATCTCCAATTTGTGATGTCATTCTATTCGATGGTTCATGATAAACAGTGTGACCATGTGAACAAATTAAATCAATATCCGATTTATTGATAGAAAATTGTTTTATAAATTCATTTATACAATCACCAATATAAGAACCATAAGATGTAGTCAATAACAAGTAAGAACGAGTATCTAAATTCATTGCATTCGATAATTTTTCATACCATTCATCAGTATATGGAATAGTTAAAGCATGATGAATTACAAACGTCCAATTATTATTCTTTTCAACAAATTCAACATCCACAATATCTAGTCCATCTAATGAACTTCCAGACATTAACCCAATAATTCTTGACATTTCGAACCTGTTCGAAAACTCATAGTTAAAAAAAGCAATATTCCATTTTTAGAGTCCGATTTTGATAGAAATAGCTATATTAATCAAATGAATTACATAAAAAAATCATTCAGTGTATTAACAAAAACAAAAGCAAATTAGATCTGATCTAGTATGGCAGCTAATCGTATCGTAGTTGGCAAAATTTTGCATACATACAAACACACTAATTAGAGCCTGTAGTTAAAATTACCTTTTGTCGCTACAAAAAATCGAAGTATATAGAAGTAGATAATAATCTAACAAGAAAAAGAAAACTCATTGTAAGTCTATTCTTTTCATCGGGACATAAATTCTTTCCTTGAACTTTGCATCTTGATGAGATAGATAAATTATTACGATCGTATCATGGAAAAAAGATTAGTTGTTTTTGACCGTCTTTCAAGCAGCGCTGTTGATGAAGCAGACAAATTAATTGATCGAAAATGTTTCAAAATAAAAGAAAAAAAACCGAGCGAGATTATTCTGCATACTTTTAACAAGTATAAAATAAAGTATAATTTTGAAAAAAAATTTCCGATGAAAAGTCGCTGAGGAGGCGGCTCTAGTCCTGAATTTTTATCAAACAATATTTTATTCAGAGGATCGGGTCGGCAGTGAATACCCTAGTTCCTCAGAAAACCCATGCAAGGCTTGTTTAGATACTTTTGCGCAAAAACATCTTGATTTTCTTTTTCGAAATTCTAGCTCCGATAAAAATCTCAAGCCTATTCGATGCTTCCTTCATCTTGTACCAGAAACTCAAAACAAGAGGGGATGTATTCTGAGCAACCATTGGAATCTGAAGAACTATTACCGCTGCTGCAATTTTTGTGCTTATCTAAATTCGACTGATTAAACCCCGATACAGTGGGCTTATTTAGAGCTTATAGAAACAATTCTTCTTCTCACTATACAATGAGTTAATAAAATATAAATTTCCCAAACATTATTCTAGCAGACAAAACTCATTAGCTATAAATGCGATAGAATGTTCAAAGCTGTCATCATGATTCTATCCGATATTTGTATCATTTGAAACATCGACTAATGTCATCGGTGCGAATATTTAATCGTATAAATAAATAAATCTCTCTGTTTGTTACTCCATCATGGCTCTATTGCTATATGTCATTTACGATATTTATTCCCAGTGTACAACATGTATCATAAAGATTCGCTAGTACTTTATGTCTTAAATGGTGCCTCATTTCGTTTGCTGTTATCCATTTTTGTTTTTTCTATTACATCACCATTAATAAACAACAGCTTAGATCAAATAAATCAATTCAATCTAATTCATTCGATTCCAGTTTTAATAATCCATAGTAATCAATTTCAAACGTTGTTCGATTTTCGTGTGTACTATATTAGTCAAAGAATAAAAGTTTTTAGTATCAAGATAGTTTTGTAAGTAACCTATTACCATTGTAATTCTATAAAAAAATTATTATGTTGAAGTTTATCCTTAATTATTTGAGATTTCTCATTTTTGTTTACAACAATAGCGCGTGGTCCAGAATAAATGGGTAAGTTTATTTACTGCTTGTATCTCAGTCCGTTTTCACTCATTAAGCCTGTTTTTTTTTCTGAAAATTTGTCATAAATAGTTTCTATAAAGTATCTATCGGAAATAGTCCTTTTTCTTTGTTAATTTCATTTTTACACTATCAGGCAGGACATTAAAGTTTCAAAAAACAAATTACCAACTTTCCACGTAGAAAAATTTTCTATTAAGAATATTGAGCACAAACAAAGTTTAATAAACATATTGTTCCTCCGGAAACGGTTTTTCACTTCGTAAAGTGATTACCGTACTCTTAATATCCATTGATCAACACTCGTTCTGATATAGCTCTGAAAAAATGTTTAGCATGAGTAACATTGAATGATAAAGATTTATTAAAACAATTTGGTTAAATCATAATACTGGATGAAAAACAATCAAGACTGATAAATCAACTATATGACACATTTTCTGAAGTATACTATTTGGAAAACTTTATTCTGGATCATCTCTTGCAGATTTCTCAATAAAAAATGTTTTATTCAATCATTCGTTAAGAGCTTCCCTCCTGTCAGCAATATATAGTTTTTCATAAAAAGGTGATAAGCACATGATTGGATAGTTCAAGATGTCTAATCTTAGAATCCATACTGTATATGTCAATGTCAAAGGTTTCTGAAATTCTGACATTTCAGCAACAAACTAGAACCAAAAACGATTCTACTGGAATCAGTTTGTAATTAAAATGAGATGTCTTCCAACTCTGATGCTTTGATTAAAAATTGCAATAGTTTTTCTAAGGGCCCTAAAATCTGTACCATATATTAGCGTTCTTAAATCTCAAAGTCGATTGTTCTCCTCGCTGCTCTAAGAATTTGCCGAAATTATCACTCAGTTTAGGTGCTATAGAGCTCAGAATGGTTTTCTTTGGAATGAAAATATTGTCACTTTGACAGCACAAGGCCAGATTCTTAGTTTCGTTTTGGAAGGCAAATAAAACTCAGAATCCATGAAAAGTTTGAAAGAAATTTTTAGAGATTTTGAGAAAAAATTTTTCATGTTAACAAGTAATACAAAACTTCAAAAATTCGGGTCTGTACTGTCAAAGCCATAGCATTTTTCTACCGAAAGGAATCATTCAGAGCTCTGTACCATCTAATCTGACTAAGCCTTTTGGGAAACCTTAGCTGCCCAATTTTGATGTTTGGCGACATCTCGGGAACAGAGATAGAGCCAAAAAATTGCGTCATTTAAAATTCATTTTTTTTAATACGGTTCCAAAGGATCTGATTATGCAATGGCATCTCAATAGACATGTAGTACTTAACAGCGATCATTGAAATAAGAATATGATTTCTAATGAGTTTTGTAGAATCAATTTTGCTTTCAACACATCATTTTTCAAACGTGATGGAAGGTTTATCTTAAAGAAATGAAAATGCATCAGCAATAAAACACAGACTTATCGAGATATCTAATTAACCTTATGTTGAAAAGGTTGTGAAAAGTAATATCTACAAAATAGAATTCGTCTTTTCGCCACCACCGAAGGTTCACGGAAATGTGAGGCGCTTTATACGGATTACTGCCATTGTACTTTCATTTTTGTATTTTTTTTACATTTTCTTTCTACAAACAACATCTATGGCTGTCATCTAAAGGAACATACTGGTGCGAACTATTAGGCTTTTACACTCAAGAGATCGTTTTATCAACAATATTCATTAGTTGTACAATAACTTAAGTTAAGCGTGTGTTGATACAAAACACTTAATAGTTTCTCGACTGATAGTAGCGTTCAATATAAGCATGGACTTAAGACAAGTGACTGCTTAGTTAAGACCGACAACTTAAGTTAAGCAGCTACTTAAGTTAATATTGATAAAACGATCTCCAGTCTAATTAGTACCGTAGTTAAAAAGGTGTAACGAGAACTTTGGTTACGATCATAACCAATATATACTTAGAAGACTTTTGAATTTTTTTAATTCGTACAAAAAAATTTATTCTGATATAAAAAACAGTTTCCACTCGAACTATAAGACTTTATTATGAAACTAAAGGAATCATCAGAGATCCTCGACCTGAAATATGATGGTACCCGCTAAACGATAAAGAGAACAGATAAAAAGTAAGAGATGAACTTATAAGCAAAATAAACGGAGATAAACAAATCAAATAAAAAAATTAACGAACTAATAATACAAGCGCATGCTTACCTTTCAGCATTTAGAAAAGATAAAGTTAAAGAGATTTTTCTAAGACAATGAGAACCACAAATAATAGCGTTAACTTTCTACATTTCGGACTGTCCAGTATCGTTGCTAAACATTTCTTTTTAAAAAGTAAATGTTATCTAAAATGTAAAGAATTGTTCCATCGCAGAATCAACTTGAACTAAAGTATAGGTCAGAATGCTAGACGAAATTTAGCAGTAAACAATCGAGATCAATAGCGATATAGCAAATAAGATGTCTTCCTTTCTTTTCACTTCTTGACAATGTCTGCGACAACAGTCCACGCACAAATTTGGCACGAGATGAAAAGAAAGACATCTTATCTGATATATTCTTAGGTACAAAACTGAAAGAGAAAATTTTTTTTTCAAATTGTGAGCAAACTCCCTCACATATCTCGTCTGTTGCTGTTTAGAGAGAACACGTATTTGCACGTGTTTGTCGCCATTTTTTGTGATTTACATTAACAAACCAATCGTTGCGAACACTTTCTAGCTGTATGCATTCACATGTCAAGATCTTTATTGGATGATTTTTAGTTGAGTTACAAGAGAAAAAAAACCGACAAATGGAAAAAGCCAAAACAATGGTTATTAGAAAATTTTCATAGTGTTATTCATTATAATTGAAAACTAGAGAAATAAAAATGTTGGCTTCTGGTTTGTGTATTATTTTCTCTTTTTTTCCCAATAAAAAGTCATTCCGATAAAAGTTTTTAATGAAAACAAGATGAGATAATCTCAGCTCCTCTATAGTGCAAAATCTTGAATATCTCGGTAATATTAACTTTCGCGAAAAAACTGAAATGTCATTCTGATTTTGTTTCAATTCAAAATTTTTATCCAATGACTTTGTATTACTGAAAAGAAGAAAAGGTGGTACATAAAACAAATAATAATATCTTGTTCAACTGATCATATGCGACTGACTGATACCTGTACGATGTTTGTATTTCTTGTTGTTAAAAAAAATTTGTTTTTACGAAGGTTTATTGTCTGTAGTAAACGCTAACCAGAGATGTGCCGATGGGGGTGCAATGGGCTGTGTACCCTCCCACTTTTAAAAAATAATGGTGGTTTTTCTTCAGGGGTCGGGGGGGGGTCATATTGCAAAAAAATTTAAGTCATGGGAAATGTAGTCTTAAAGTTAAGACGGAAAACTTAAGCCGGACTTGAGTCATTGACACATTTTTTGAATAGATCAGGCATTTAACGATACGATTCGACGAAAACGACATTCTAAGAATTAGAAAATAAATATTTCTTTATTTTGCGGGTTTTTATCAGAAGTTTGTCACTGTTGTCAACGACTTTTAAAAAGTAAACAAATCGCCAACTTAAGTCTTTTTCGTGATACGGTTCAAGTCCCCGGACTCAAGTCGGTCTTAAACTTAGATTTAAGTCCCGATTTAAGCTTTTTCGTGATACGACCCTCTGTTTCTCAAAAAAACTTAAGTATTTACTTAAGTGGATTTTTAAGGGAAAAATTAAGTGGTACTTAAGTGAAACTTAAGTTTTCCCTTAAGTGCGTTTTTGAAAAAAACTTAAGTTAAACAGAGGTCATACAGTAAAAACCACTGATATTTTAACAAATTTAGATTATTTTGATGAAACGTTTTGAACAAAATCCTCGTAAAGTTATTTTCTATTTAATTATTGTGAGTCTGACTACGAAAAAACATAAAATATAGAAGTTAGAAATTATAAATAATTTTTCATTTAAAAAATTAAGTGAAAACTTAAGGGTAGCTGAAAGGTTCCTTAAGTTACGATACTTTCGAGAAACTCACTTAGCAGAAAAATCTTACTTAAGTCAAATTTTTCACTTAAGTAAAACTTAAGTTTTTTTGAGAAACAGGTCCCAGTAGATCTGATTTGGAAATTTTGCTTTTTAAAGACTGACTCCTCTTTAGACTTTGCGAAAACGCCTGCATATATGTATTGAGCAAGAGCGCTTGAAAAATTTGCCGGCTGCACCTCCTCTATCTAATTTTTTTTTAATCGCCACATCCCTGACGATAACTCGGAATTTTGGAAGAGATAAATAGTACAATTGCATAAAGAGATAGATACTAAAGGGTACGATTGAACTACGAGAAATAATATAGTGCTGGGCTAGTGCATACTCACTTTCTTCTTGCTTTAATTTGTTAATTTATCGCTTCTAATTATTTGTTTATTGTTGTTTTATATTTGTGCCTTTTATACTTCTGATTATTTTTTTAACTGCTAATAGTAAAAAATCTGTTATTAAAAATTATTTTATGGCTAACGTAGCCACTGTGGATATGGAAGAGGGTGATATAAAGGAAAGTGAAACAACAAGTAGTGATATTGGAAATTCTCGTTTACTCCAAGAATATGAAGCATTCTCAGCAATGATTAATACAATGAGCGAAAGGTAATAATCTGTTTTAATTCTACTTCATAATTAGAAAAATGTTAGCTCCTTATTTATAGTCAAACTAATCCAAATGGTGATGAAACGTCCGATGAGGATTCACCATCGAATGGTAGTGGTCAGTCCGACAGCCCTGAACAACATGTTGTAAGCAAAGTTTATGTTTTTTATTTTATTTTATTGCTTAGTTTCTATTTCAGTGCATCTATATTAACAAGGAATGTTTTTTCTCTAAAATACAATCTCAATATCTGATACTGTTAACAGCCCTTTCTGTTTCTCGTACACCCTGCAGATATATTCCTCATAACTCAGACGAGCTTTCTTTTGAGTTTCTGACTTTTTTTTATTTCATTTATTCCAAATTTTTATATTAACGCATCTACCCTTTCTTTAAATATACAAAGGCAAATACGGTTTATTGATCATGCTGTGTTAATGTTGATATTAAATGAAGAAGTGTTTTATTGCCATGTGAGAGAATACTAACCAGTAGTTGGTTATCAGGTAGGTTCAATTTCAATGTTCTGGCATTAATTGGTAGGTATGAATTTGATTAATTAATCCATCTATGTTACATAACTGATGTTTAAAGTATAAAAAGAGAAAAATGTTCATTTATTTTATTTTTATTTTAGGTCAGTAATAGCGACAAGGAGATAGAAGGTTCTGAACAAAAACATGAAAAAATAGGTGCTGCTCATAACGAGAATTTAGTAGAAAATAGTGATGCTACTAAAAGGTATGCCATATGTTTTTTTGTAGTACAGCTGTTCGAGGTATTCTGAAGGCAGATTTTTTGTGAGGCGTTATATTAAAAAAACAGACAAAATCTAATTATTGTTTGAACAGTACGAATACAAAAAATGATAGAGTTCATGACATTTACAGACTTTAATCCAAGATTGAATCTTTTCTAAATGACCACCGAACCACTTCTCTATAGTTTATCACCTTTGTAAAAAGAAATAGTTGTCGCATATATGAAATGTAAACTTTTCCTTTTATACAGAACGATATTTTCTAAATTTTTTTCTAGCACTAAAGTACCTCATGATTCTCGCTCAGAATCCCGTTCTTCTTCACGATCTCGACATTCTAAACGAAAACGATCTCGTTCGAGAAAACATCACTCATCAAGTTCGAAAAGACATCATACAAGTTCAAGAAGAAGAAAATCATCATCTGATCGACACAGAAAATCATCATCTAGTTATCGTCATAAAAAATCTCGATCTCGATCCCGATCCCGTAGCCGTAATCATTATTCATCGTCAAAAGGAAATAGATCTCGAGATCGTTCAAGATCCTCACGAGATCGAAAACGAAGACGTGATTCACCAAGAAAACGCTCACGTTCACCACAAAAGAAAAATAAATCTCCTTTTCATCGACCAAGTCCAGTCAGGTAAGTTAAATAATGTATTAGGGAATAAGCTAGTATAGAGATTCTAATAATATTGTCAAAGCTATAGAAAAAGTTCATAGTATAGATTTGTGATTGAAATATTTCGTCTGTATTCCAAAGGTATAAAATTAAATTAGCGTTAATTCATCTTTATTTATTTTCTTTTTCAAGAACGTATCCAACAAATCGAAAGGGAAGAAGACAAACACCAACACGTCAAACATCATCTAATATCAATGATCGTCAAACACGAATGTACGCTATTCAATCCCAGGCAGAAGAAGAACGAAAGAAACTTCAAGATGAAACAATGAAAAAATTAAAAGATATGGCCGGTGAGTTATGACTGATTCTATTGTTATTACAGATAATTGAATGATTATTTTGTTGTTTTAGCGAATGGTACATTAGATTTGACACAAATATCTTTACAAGGTTAGACAAAAAGGCATTGTATTTTAATGCTCATCTGTTTCTTTTTTTATCTAATTAGATTTAATGAAAACCATTGATGTACCAAAAGAATATCGTAAAAATCAACAGACTATTATGAGTTATCAAATGGAACAAGTTCGAAAAAATGTAATTTTTTGATTTTCTTTTATGATATATTAGATTTTTTCAAAGATTTTACTACTCTGTTTAGATTGCAGAATTAACAGGTATACAAATACCTAATTTTTACAGTGCCGGCACGATCAATCCATTAGTTTATGCTGAACAACAGCGAAAACGAAAATTATTATGGTCAAAAGCAAAAGAAAATGAAAATGTAAGTTTATTGAAAGATATTTGACTCTGTTTATAATCCTGTGATCTCAAATATTGAAATTGCAAAGCCACTAATTTTTTGTGCGAAAAAATGATATGCTAAATAATGAATAGTAAGGCGATTATCTCCACGTACGATTTGGGGTGTTTAAAAAGTACTATATTTTAATTATTTCGATTATATTTGTTTAATATTAGACGGCCACAAGTAAAGTCGGTGCAGCGATGACAGAAGGGCAAGATGAAAAAACGGCTGAAAAATTTCGTAAATTGATGGGTTTAAAATCAGATGACTCAGTACAATCGACGACAAGTAGCGATACGAATGCCATTAAACAAATGCAACAACGTACATTTGATTCATTAGACAAAGAATATCAAGTAGCACGTGTTGCCACTCATATTCATAAAGGAGTTGGTCTTGGATTTTTTTCACAAGGACCTATTGTTACTCCTTCAACATCAACATCGACACAAGAGAAAAACTAAAGTGTCTTTTTTTTACGATTGTGTTTTCTTCAGTCGTTATTGATTGCATTTTTTTTTTGAGTTGAATAAATACAGCTGATGTTGAAGTACACTGTACATTTGATTTTGTCTTTTGTTGTTTTATCTGTATTTTCGGTTTTTCTTCTTGTTTTCTGATAAACGTTTATTTGTTTTGAAATACATTTTAAAACAGGTATTTCGCGAGTAATATATATGGACGAAACGTCACTATTCTTTTTTTTTCCATCATTCCACTACGATCTTGTTGAACAGCTAAGAATTTGGGAATGTTAAATAAATGCTTCTATTATTTTTAGATGTGTAAATTAGGGGTGGCACATTACTGTTACTTTTACGAGTAATCCAAATATTGTATATATTCCTATTACCAGCAACAGTAATACTTTTCAGTTTGACTGGTGCTGGTAATAGGAATGTTCATAAAATTTGTACCGGCACCAGTTAAACTGAAAAGTATTACTGTTACTGGTAATAGGAATATATACAATATTTGGATTACTCGTAAAAACAGTAATGTGCCACTCCTACTGTAAATATTTTTATTATGCAGCATATTGTTCAAGAAATCATAAAATTTGCCTCGAAAAATAATCGGCACGACTGTCAAATGACAGAAAATTTATGGAGAATCTAAGTTTGAAAGCCTAAAATTCCATAAAATAATACATTAATGAAATTTTATTTTTAAACCTTATTTCGATACATCTTTTTATGCATAAAAATATAGAAAAGTCAAAATTAAAAATATTTGGTACTTAATGGGTTAACGATGACCTATTATACTTAAAGACGTAACATTATTAGTATCATATGCATGAGCTCAAGTATGCTCCTTCTTTCTTTAATACTACACATAGCTATGCTCGACGCCTTCTGTAGTTCTTATTATTTTATCTATACGAAATGCTGAATGAATGTGCTTTTTTTTATTCTTTATCGATTGAGTGATGAGCGAATGATACTAGTCATTCTTTTTTCTAGCAATTGTAATGGTTTGTCTGTGAGATCGTATGTTACAGAACTTTTCCTCCACACTGTGTGGTTTATTAATCATATCAATAATCAATCATCCACAATATTATGACTATGCTTCATTGAATTTGGTCACATATTTGTCTATGAACAATCCAATCCAGTGGAATGACTCATATTGAATCAGACGGTGCTAATTCTCAATAGACTTAACATTCAATATATTAGAAGATTTACAATTAGAAGCAAACGAATCATGAGTTGAACCATTTATTATTATTGTTAAAGACTATCGATTAGCCAATGCAACAGCAATTGTCTTTTTTTCTTCTATTGATGCACTTATTCAAGTCGGTTTGAATTAATTATCAGCAAACGCCGCACCTTGGCTATAAATATTTTGGACGAGTTTTATTGGATATTTATGTATGGATTACGTCGTTGAACATAAATTAAAAATTCAAGAACAATATGTTGGTGTTTATCATAGATGAGAGATAAAGGCTATAGAATTGTCTTCGAACGAGCGTATGTCATGCTTTTATTTTTATTTTATTTTATTACAGTCGTTCAACGTTATATATCGGATTAACGACTGGTCTATGTGATTCAATAACAACGTTTAGTGGAATAATGTACAATTCTACACTGGTCCTATACAGAACGGTCGGAGGACTATATCCAATCTCAAATTATTTGTTCATTTTATTATTAACTTTTTGCTGCTCATTTACCACTTTTACTTTGGGTTGTCATTTGAGTTGGGCTAACAATGCCTTACAACTTTTCGTTAAAAAATCGATGAACATCCAACGACAAGACCAATTAGAAGCGATTCCATTTCACTCTATTTTTCATAGATTTGATATACGTTTGTAATTATTTCTTCGTCTGTTTTTGGTTAGTATTCCAATAATCATAGTGATCATCGTTAGACTACCTGTTATTAGATATATATATATTTCTTATTCTCCATTACTTGCACCATTTGGCTCACTAACGCGATGGTTCATCTCATTTTTAAATTTATGTTTTATACAATTTTCTATCGGTATATTTGTGTGCAATGTCGGTGGTTCCTTTTTATATCCTGGAATTTCAACTATTATAAAATATCGTTCAAATACAGTTTTGACCGAACCAGCTTTAATTGGTACGCTTTGAGGATTTTGTGGAGGTCTGACGACTGTTTCAACACTTGTTTTAGAAACAACTATGATGAAATGTTTATATGCGTTTATTTATTTTTTCTTATTTGTTTTTACTGTTCAATGTGTTTTCATTTCTATTCATTGCGGTGCTAGAATCTTGTTTAACTAGTCATATTCTATACGATATTTATGAGTTAAAATTATTTAAATATTTTTATAATAGAAAAAATACGTTGATAACATCGTAAATACTTCACATAAGTGTTTTATCATGTGTCGCTCATAATATCGATGCTCCGCGTTAAATCGATGCTGTTAAAATATTTGTTTTCGATTAGAAATCATGAGGTAACACATACGAGAACAATAATAAAAAAGTCGAGTCAATTAATCGTGATAGATGGTCGATTCGAAGGAATGTCTCCAACTGAATCTCTTAGATCTTGGCGAAATATATCTGGCATGGGAGAGTAAAGTGCACACCAATCACAAATCTGTAATTTCAGCTACCCAATCTAAATAGTATATCTATAGAGTTCAATGATGCTTTATTAAAAGTTCAAAAAACGAAAATGTTGTTATCAAATTTATAACTCTTGAATGTTAGATCAACAAGAAGTAAATGACATTTTTGAAAGAATTTCTAGTGTCATGCGCTGCCAAGGCTACTCTTTGGAAATCCTATACCACGTGCGAATCACTGAGAATCCAGCTATCTTTACCTACAAAATAAAAATTACTTTCAGCTCTAGAGAACATTTTTATTAAAATTTATTATTTTTAGTCTCTATTTTTTCCAAAAGAAAATCTGTATCTCCTTAGCTATTTAGATTATGTAATTGAGATTTGTGATCAATGTGCTTTACTCTTCCATTGCTAGACATGTTTTATAAAAATTTGAAAGATCCATCCGAGACCTTCCCTTCAATAATTCACATCTTTATTAATTATAAATTATGAATTAAATATCGAAATGTAAATTTAGTTAAAAAGTAAAATAAATCTTGAAAAAAACAATCATATAGTCATAGAAATAGTTAAGAACTCGTTGAGTTTGTCTCTGGTAATCTAGTTCATCTTTCTTTTCTATCAATCGAATCCATATACTTTTTACGATATTAATGAAGATCGGTCCTTGTTTGTTGTAATCAATTGTTAAAATATAGATGTTTGATCGTACAATACATGAATAGAGATGTTTTTGCACTCGAACTTTCACGCATTTTTCATATAAAGGTCAAGCTGCTTCGTCTCATCTCTATTCATGAATGATCATATGTTGTAGGCTAAAAAAATTGAAACGTTTTTGTATATGTGTCTGTGTACTTCTTGATTTGTTATTTTGAAAATTCGTTCACAGTGAAGTAAAAAAACAAAAAGAAAAGAGAAAGTGGTATATTTTTTTGCAAAAGGATTTGACTGCTAAATCCATAAATGTTTAAAAAGAAATATGATATTTATTACATTTAATTTTGAGTATCCGAACTGTTTTTGTGACAGTTTATTTATAATAAAACAGCAATTATTTCATGGATACGACATCCTCATCATTCCATGAACATAATTCGGCTCGTGGTGATTACCTGTTCGGCAAAACACAATTATTACCATCACATATAGATCGAAATTTTGAACAATATCTTGCTGATCATCATGTTCATCCATCTTATGTTAAATTTCCTTTAATTACATCTCATAGACAAAAACAACATATCAGTACAGCACTTAAATCCAATAGATACATAGATGATAGACAAAAATCATTTGAAACAGTATTTTCACAAAATTCAAAATTATTATCCAATTCTTTATCATCATCTTGGAATACAAATGAAAATGATACTATTCATCAAAAACAGTTGTCACCAATTAATACAATTTTAGCTAATAATGAAAAATATCGTCGTTCTCATGCAAAACTTATTGAATATAAACAACAAAGTAAAATACAAGGTATTCAAATACCAAAAGTCGATATACAATTATCAAATAATCATAATAATAGCCCGCCGAGTACGTTAGTATTACGGGAAGTTATTGAAAATAAAACAAAAGAAAAAAATGGTGCCATTGGTGGTGAAGATCTTGTTGATGATGAATCAATTATAAGTGTTGAAGGTTCTCATCGTGCAAAGGTTTGGGTTAGAGAACATCAATATTTTTTTAATAATTATTAATAATGATATGTATTTTAATTAAAGACTAGATTACAATTCTCATTTGTACATAACTAAATGTTCTTTTTCAATTCAAAAGTAATTAACTAATCGACAATCAACTCGATCTGATGAAAAGCTGATTTAGCTATGCAATTTTATCAAAGCTGAATCAAACTTCATTAAAATATATGTTTTACTTCATAGATGAAAATGTTGTTCAGCTCATACAGCTCTAAATCTGACTAGAAGTCAGGGTTAAATTTTCTGATAAATGACAATTCCATAGATATCAGGGTCGATTCTGGTCAGATTTTTTAGGTTTGAATCAAATATTAAAAAGCAAAAACTTTCTGTAAATAAAAAATATTTCTAAAGTATAAGAAAAATTGATTACAGTACAAAAAATTCGATAATCGTGACTATCACAAATATTTAACAACAGCGTTGGTATGAGTAGGGTGAGATGACTATTACTATCAAGCGTGCTTCCTGAGTCTATAGCATCATGTGATTTCTTGAGTCTGACTCAGAAAGTACAGATAAGAATATTTATCGCAGAATCAGTGAGAAGCGAAAGAGAAGAAAACATTTTTTGTTAAAAGTAAAAAGTTCAATGTTTTCTGAGTTGACGTAGTCTCTGACTTAGCTCTAATAAAACTGCATAATTGATTCAGCTTTTCAGATCGAGCTGTTGACCAGTGACGTACAGTTGCTTTCTAATTTGTTTTTATATTTAGACATTTGATGATTGATCAGCAGAGTTTCAGTCTATCAGATAAAAAAACGCTTTTATATAGCCTTCTTTTTTCCACTATCATATTCAAAACATAATATCTCTAGCTGTTTTTTGACTGGCTAGTAAGCACCTTAACAAAAGGTGATAAAAACTTGCAGTTTTCACGTTTCGGTAACCAAGACTTTAAACCATCTTTTTATAACCAAAGTACTGGATTTTCTAGAAAACCATTGAACAAAGAAAAATAGTTGTCAATTTTTGCGATCGCTCGCATAATCACGTTTAGCGGACAAAATTAATCATATTCTGAGACTGTCAGCTCGTTCTAACGTGTCTGAGTAAATTATGAATTTTTTAATATTAGGTGCCCGGAGCAGCTCGGAAATCCTAATTTTCGTAAAACATGATGTTCATTAGGTTTTTTCTTCGAAAATAATTGTTGCCATCAGCTTCAGCGTGGTCAATTACGTATGTTTCATACGCTTCCAAGGTTATTCGAATTCACCGAGTGTCAGTCCTGGAAATCCATTGGACAGTCATTGGATAATCTGATCCTCTTACAACGCCGAGAAGTATTGCTCTAAATTAAACTTAGTTGAGAAAGAATAGGAATCATTTATTCAGAGTTTGTGAAAGTTCACTAGCATAAATTCTTTATATCGTCATTAGGTTATGAAAAGATGATATAAAGTCTTGACTATCGAGTGGTAAAACTACAAATTCTTGTCATCTTTTACTATTGAATTATTCAAAAAAGAGTCAGAGGCATTATATTTTGAATATGATAGTAGTACAAAGTTGTGTATTAGTAATCTTGAGTACGAAATAAAAGACCGTATATTTATTGAAAAAAATTTTAATTCAGCGATGTGTTTTGCCTTTTAGATCCGATTACAATTTTTCGTTGTTATAGAGAGAGAAAGAGAAGAAGAATCTGTAACATATCCTGATGTTTTTCTTAATCAGACAAGTTTTTCTATTCTTACGCATATTCACTAGTCGTTTGTACTAGCAACTGTTTTACTCAACAGTTGCTGCTATTTAAAAACAACTGACATAATGTTGAATTTCAACGTTTTATCATTTCTATTAAAATAAAAACAAAAAAACAAGTTTACTTGTGTACATTTTATACAATATAAAAAGTGAATTTATCATTAGATCAACCGAAATATTATAAGCATAAAAGATTGTGTTTAAAAAAAAAAGTCCTCTCTGATATTTTAGATTGATATTTTATTGATAATATAAAATAATGACTTTTTGTTCTCAGAAATTTGACGACTGGTGTCAAAAATATTCAAAAACTGTTTTTAAAGAATTTCACACTTTTCTCATTGAAAATCATTTTAACGATTCAAAAATGGATAATTCATCATTATTATTATTTGAACATTTTATTTTGCAACTTCGAAAAACATTAATACATGAACAATCAAAAATGATTTCGCACGAAATTGATAAACGACAAAATTTAGAAACATCATTAATTATCGATGATCAAGAAAATAAAGAGAATATCGTCAATATATTTTATATGAAAAGTGGTGAATTACCTAATTTGATATTGAATAAACGTGCAATAATAAAACAAGATCAAAATCATATCAAATTTTTTGATTTGAATTTGGTACGTTTTTTCGATTATTATATTTTTATTAAAAATTAAATAAATTTGTTAAATTCTTTCTTCTTTTTTTCTTCTAGAATCAGTTGATTATTTCAATTGAAACGGATGACACAATCGAATGTCGCCAAATGACAAAACTTGATAAAAAATTGCTGCCACATATTCAAGAACAACAATCACTATTATCGTCCAAAACATCTTTATTTCTGAAAGTAAAAACATTTTCACTGATTTCTTAATACTGAAAAATAATAAATAACTAATTTATTTTCTGTTTAAGACACACAATTATCAATTTTTTATCGACTTCTTTAGCCATACGATGAAACAACGATGGTTTAAAATTTTAGCATCAAAACAGTAAATAAACTGAAAATAAAAGATTGTAATCGATATTTATTTTTTCATTATGATTTAGGTGTTTGTTGAATAAAACACACAGTTTAACAGGTAACAATTTCTATTACTAAATTTTACTCATAAATATATTCCTATCTCAATTCTTAAGTTAATAATACATCACGTTGTCGACAGAATTTAAACGATTGTCCATGGTTTCATTATCATTTAAGTCGTCGAGATGCTGCACGACTAGTTGTACAAACATATCCATCTGATGGCAATTATCTTATACGTCAAAGTGAAACAAGACCAGGGGAATATGTTTTAACGTTTAATCATAGTGGAAAAGCTAAAGTAAAATTTGTCTGATATTTTATCATAAAATTACAATGTTTCTCTTTACATTTAGCATCTGCGAATGTTTATTGATTCAGATGGCTTTTGTCATTGTCAACATTTAATATTTGATTCAATTCAACAATTAATTGATCATTTTCATTATAATCGAATACCTCTTGAATCCGGTTCAAATTCATCATCATCAACGGCTTATTTAAAACAGTTTATCCCTAGGCTATTACCACGTTTACCATTGACTGTACAAACACCAACGACAGATAATTCCTACGCGTTTTCTTAGAATTATTCATCATATATAGTTTTTTCGAATTTCTGTACATTCTCAACTACTATTAGTTTTCGCTATGAGTCATTTTGTATAAATAATGGTTTTTCTTGCACTTTAATTTCTACTTACATGTAATACCCGTTTCGCTCATCTCTTGTGGTTTAGAACCAGGACAATCCAAAATAAGTCTGCACCAAATACTGAAAGTCAAACGCTGAGTTAAAATGCTCAAATAGTAATAATGATGAATTATCCATAACTGAATGGTTAAGATGATTTCCAATGAGAAAAGCGTGAAATTCTTTAAGGTCCCCCTCCGTGGAGCAGAAATGTCGATTTTCGTCAAAAATATCGACTTTGAGAAAAACACATGCCATGTGTTTTTCTCAAAGTCAACGGTTGGATAGCCCAAAGTGTCTACTTTCTAATGACATAAATTTTGTGTCGATAGGATAGATTTCTCACAGGTTTTGAGCGAATATTTCATGTTAATTATGTCCGAAATTTTCGGTAACGATACATCGGGGAAAGAAAATTTTTTCTTGGTTGCAGATAACACTTCCGATTTTTAAATTATGCTTCCATCTTTTATAGAACTGAGGATTTGTAAGAAACCTTCTAAGGATTTTTCAGATTTTAAAGTTGTATTAAGCACCAGAAATCAGTAAATGAGAACTTCAAAAATCGGGCGCTGCCAACTGCCAGCCATAGGTGTTTACTGCAAAACAAAACGAGCCCGAGCTCTCTATCATTTACCTGGAATGAGAATTCTTGTAAATCGTAGAAGTCTACTTTTGGCCCATGCTGTGAACAGTTGCAAGTGGCGCCAAAAATATTTTGTTCTATACTTTGACATGGTCAACATTCCCTGAAAGTTTGGTTCAGATCAGACCTACACGGGCTGAGATAGGTTTCTGACTCGGGCGTGGAATCGCCTTAAACACAATTTTTGACACTAGTCGTCAAATTTTTGAGACGAACAAAAGGTCATTATTTAACGTCATAAGACACTAAAGCAAACTCTTGTTCTATGTGGTGTCTGAGATTTATCGAAGACAAAATCATAAATACAAAATGAAATATAATGATCCCTATGAAAAACATTTTACTTACGAGGGAACCCCTCAAAGTGATTAAACGCTTTTTGCTCGGAATTTAGTGGATTATAGGTTATCGATCATGCTGATTACGAATATGACCATGGGGCTTTCCCATAGCCCTTCGAAGACCTGGTTTTCTAGAAAACCAGTTTTTTCAAAAACTCTAAAATATAACCCGAACCTTTC